TGGTTCCAAATATCCGACCATCAGTCGAGTACAAGAAATAACAATAATAATAATAACTCTAATAATAATAATAATGATGGGAGAGGCGAGAGATTAAAATAAAAATAATAATGAAACTTGTTTGTCAAGATTGGGTTTTAATACCTAATGATTACTTAAATTCTTCAGAGAACCTATAAGAACTAAAACTTATAAAACATTTATTTTTTGCACAAGTTTGATCTCTATAGGAACAGGGTAACATACATTTTCAGTCTACGCCATGGTGATTGGCTATTCGATCTGTATACAAACGAAGTATGTTTTGGATACTATCTAATATAACTCGGTGGCACGTTGTAGACACAATTTCTAGAAACGAATACTTGTACGAATAGTTTAAATTATGTAGTTTCAAACTTTATTAAAATTTGTCTTGACAATTTGTGATTTGTCGTTCGGTTGCAAATGGTGTAATAATTAATGATGTTGGGAACAATAGCCCCTTTACTCGCTTGCGCCTCGAGCGACTCAGGCTCTTTGGAGGCGTCGTGAGCGCTGCTCGGCGCCCCTTATATCATGTAATTGTGTGCGTCACACACCCTGCACGATAGATAGAGCCGGCACAGTGTCTGTAGGTACGTGTTCATTTCACTATAAGACCCTATCTGCCATTAATAGAGATGGCAACATCCTGTTTGGGTTTAATATTTCCTTTGTTTGTTACTTTAAAATCGAGAAGTTTGTAAGAGCATCCTTACATTCTTAACGCTAATATGAAAGACTTATCGTCTTTCATATTAAGCCAGTAAAAAAATAAAAATTCATTGCTGTAGTCGATAATTATTTAATAATAGTGTTGTACACGTAATATATAGTGAGTATTTTTATGTAGATACATGCTATTACATTCATATTAAAAAAGGCATGTATTTAAACAATAATTTTAAATTTGCAAAGGACCAGACAAAAAATCTAAATCTTTCTTAATGGTTGATCCTCTTTCTCTGAGACATAAAATAAATTTAATCAATGGATATTTTAATCTATTCAGAGGAATGCAAAAATTTTCGATTTGTATAAATTAACTTTGATAGTTTTTTGTTGGGCCTCAAAACTAAGACAAACGAGCATTAAAAATAAAATAAATTATATCTGTATACTAATATTATATTAATTATAGTATATTATGTCTAAAAATCTAAATCTTTCTTAATGGTTGATCCTCTTTCTCTGAGACGTAAAATAAATTTAATCAATGGATATTTTAATCTATTCAGAGCAATGCAAAAATTTTCGATTTGTATAAATTAACTTTGATAGTTTTTTGTTGGGCCTCAAAGCTAAGACAAACGAGCATTAAAAATAAAATAAATTATATCTGTATACTAATATTATATTAATTATAGTATATTATGACCTAAACACGTGTTCGGAAACGCAAAGAAGTTGGCTTCTGACTCCCACCGGTCGTTGCCGCGACACGCTCGTTTCGCTCGTGCTGCTTTTTCGTATACTAACCTAACCTATTGAATAAAGGGCCCAACCAAGCAACGAAGATTTATTAGGAGATCAATATACTGGTTATAAATGTCATCAATCGTTGAAAGAACAATAACAAAAAAAGAAGATCAAATATTATTTTTCAATACCTTATATTAATTTAGTATACTTAAACATATTGATAGTGTTACCTTGAATGTTGTTCATTTATAATTTATCCGTAGATCAATATTAATTAGATGTATAGATGGTTCCATCTATTCTAATTAAATGTATATGAAACATAAAATTTTTTTTTTTTAAATGCACATGTAGTATAAATATCTTTGAAGATCAACGATTGTGATTGTGATCAACGACGTAACCGAACGATTACCATGCTGGTCTGCCATGCATAGGTCCCAGGTTCGATTTCCAGGTTCGGGACAAATATTTGTATTTTAGATACTTATACAAAGGGCGCACTACAAGTTTCCGGAACTGGCCACTTACACAAACAATATTTAAAAAGTTTACAACATTTGAAAAAGGAACTCTTTGGCTGCAGAACATAGTTTGTTTCATCTGACTGCCACTTGTTTTTACATTGTGGCATCATTTTAGAAATTGATTGTCTACATCACCATGGATTTAATTCGTGAAAATTTTCGTAGTATGATTTTCTACGACTTTAATTGTAATTGAACAGCTCAGCGGAGTTTCGCTCGACTTCAAACTGCTTTTGGCGATGAAGTACCATGCAATACGACTATTTATAGCTATTTGTTGAATTCAAACGTGGTCGTGTGAATCTCAGTAACGAATTTCGCGATGGTTGCCCGTTCACTGCTGTGAACACCAAAAACATCGATACTGTGCGCCATATGATCAAAACAGATAGGCATGTTGTATATCATGAGGTTCGGGCATAATTAGGCATAGGCATGAGTCAAATGCAATCAATACTACATAAACATTTGGGTGTGAAAAAGCTGTGCTCTCGGTGGATCCCACACAAGTCTCAGTCAAAAGACTCAAAAACGGATCGTGTCACTTGATGCAATGCCATGGTTACCAGATTTAACGAAGGGAAGTCAAATTTGGTGTGGGATATAGTGACAGGTGACGTGAAACATGGATTTATAGTTATGATCCCAAAACAAAGCAGCAATCGAGCGTATGGGTCTTTCGAGATGAGCCGAAACCAACCAAAGTGGAGCGCGTGCAAAATGCCTCTAACCGGATGATTGCTTCTTTTTTAATAAAACTGGATACGTGGCTACTGTTGCTTTGGAGAATCGCTGTACCGTGAATAGTGATTAGTATACGACTATTTGTTTGCCGGAAGTTATTGATAAACTCCGTAAAAATAACCGCAAACGCCGCGTCATCTTGCACCATGATAATGCCAGTTCTCACACGGCCAGACAGACAAATTAATTTTTGAAGATGAACAACGTTGACCTTATGAGCCATCCTGCTTGCAGTCCCGACCTGGCACCATGTCACTTTTATTTATTTCCAAAAATTAAGAACCATTTACGCGGTTAACGATTTTCATCACCTGTAGAGGCTGATTCAGAGATTGTCACGGAGGAGAGGCATAAATGTTTTCAAAATTGGTTCATTCGTATGAAAAAGTGCATTAACGCTGACGGAGAATATTTTCAGAAATAATAAATTAATTTCTGACCATTTATAGTAAAATTTCTTATTCATTCCGGAAACTTATAGTGCTCCCCACGTATATGTCTGTGTATTGAGTACATTTGTTTTTGACTCGTGTATCCACGTCGCGGGTATCCACGACACCCGCGATACAGGGTTTCCCTAGTGCGGAGCTATAAGTGTGTACGTTATTATGAGTTATTATTATTAGTTTTTGTAGATGCCAAATTTTGTGGAAGCCGTGGTAGCCCAATAGTTTGACCTACATCCTCTCAAGTAGAGGGTCGTGGTTTCGAATCCGGGCTCGCACCTCGCAAAATTTAATTTGAAATTTACCATGAGCTTTTCGGTGAAGGAAAACATCGTCATGAAACCTGCACGTCGTAGAAAGTTCACGACTCTCGGAAAACGTGTGAAGTCCCTAACACGTGTTGGGCCAGTGTGGCGGACTATGGCCTAAAACCTCGTCTGAAAGGAGACCCTTGCCACGCAGTGGGACGTATAAATGGGTTGATGTTGCCGATGATGATGATTGTAGATGCAAAGATAACCTAGGTTGTCTAAACATTAGTTTACGTAGTTTCATGATATAGTATTCTGTTAACGATGTGGACACAGTTTCACTATCCCTGTATTGTAATGCTATGAAGCTGTACTGTGATAATAGTGACTGCGAAAATCTAAAGGCAAAAGATAAACAGCTAAAAGATGCGACCAGAATAGACCAGTCTGCTTTCTTACCCAGTGCACTACTATGAGAACGTTCTCATCCTTGCGCATATCGTATTTATTGCATTTAGCAGTAAAAAAGGAGCATATCAGGGTTATGGTAATGCTAATTCTGGTCTGGGTAGTAGCGTCCATCTCATATAACTTTATATTTACTTTTATGGTTAAAGTACAATAAAAAGTGAATCTATAAGCGATGAACCTTTCCACTATGTCCATTTAACTTCCATCTCACCGAATCGTTTGGTTAGGTTAGGTAAGGTGGAGCACGTTATATTTTAATTCTATTTGATGATATATTCAAAATGGATCACTGGACTTGTGCGGATAAAACAGTGTATTAGACCCAGGATGGGATTTTCTAAGGTGTCAATTTCTATATAGGCGACATGATGTTTGTAAAATGACAGAACGTCTGACGACCAACAGGTATTGAAGCCTTATGTAAAGCATTGTCTTCAGTTATGATCTAGGTACTAATCTGAAAAATAGTAGTAGTAGCTTGCACACTGGTTTTCATGGTGTCGCCATCTCTGAGATCCCACGTTCGATCCCTGGCCGGGTCAATGTAGATAACTTGTCTACTTGTGTTATATGTGTTGTCTTGTGGTCTGGGTGTTTGTGGTATACTGTCGTTGTTTCCCATTTCCATAACACAAATGCTTTAGTTACATACTTACTTTGGGATCAGAACTACGTATGTGATGTTATGTAACCTTTATTTTTTATATTTAAACTTTAAAGTAAGCTAGCGACTTATAATATTTGACAGAGTGATCGGTACTTTGTATATTATTTTACTTATACAAAAGGCGGTTATTTACTTGACGAGAGCCACTAAACAAGATTGTTTAGGATCGATAATGTCATATTCTCGTGTTCTTCTGGGTCCAATAAATTTAGATTCTAAGCAGCAGTAGAGCTCCTTGTGCAAGAGTTCATCGAGTGACTTACTACCATCTTACCTATTTCTGCCACATAACAGTAATGTGAGCATGACTGCGTCCCTGTTTTGAAGCATAAGGGTGCTGCTGAAATTACAGGCACATGGGACTTATCAACTTATGTCACAGGGTGACAGTCGCATTGGTAGTGCCCCTCAGATCTTTGCGATTTAAAGCTCTGAGTGGCATTGAAACTGTTATGAATAGGCGTGTAGCTCCAGTACCACCAGGCGCACAACTTGTTCTTCCCGCCACTTGATAATATAAAAAAAAGATTCGTGGGATATGATGAAAAAAAGCCTAAGATAAAAGCTATTACAATTGTTTTGTTCATAGTTTTTGAATATAAAACATTGATTTTGCAATCAATTTTGTATTAACAAATTTCGAGAACTACCATTGGGACTTCATATCAAAGTCTGTATGCCGGCTTAATATCCAGGGTTTCGGTTTATTTAATGGGCCAGGGCCTTGCTTCATTTCTCCTGAAGATGTTGAAGATTTCTTACATGAGTGCCAGATAAATCTGGAACAGAAAGTTGATATTTCGGCTAATATTAATTTGAAGTTTGAATGCTCATTTTGTTATGTTTAATGCGGTGCATACAACAGACAACATGTTCTATAACATATATAACATCATAAATCTAGCATCCAATTATTTGACGTGGACTGTATTAGAGCTTTATAAAAGCTGTTTCCTACGAGCATTGATATAACGGGCCACGCCACACCGCGCCGATTTGTACGGGCAAACTCTTACTGCCAACGCCCGGCTCCGGCAGCACTCTCAAGGCAGCAAGCCGGTTTTGAGTTTTATTATATACGGCCATCGGCTTGAAAACTTGAAATGCTGAAAACGCTGGTTCGAATCCAGTTGGATCGATGGAATTTTTCTTAGTGCTCGATCTTTGTATAAATAATTACAACAAATCCGCCATTTTCAAAAAAAAAAATGACAAGTGGTTGGCATGTCCTGCCCTCAACGACATTTGTTCAAACGCATTCCACTTTATCTCCTATACTCGCCGAGGTGCAGAAACTGCACAGGGAGTGGATCAACAATATTTGTTTGAAGACTTCGAGCCAAGATGTATACATTGGCCGGGCAGCTGGAGATGCGGAGCAATTTCTGAAGATTAATAACCGCACATAACGGATTCGGACGTGCTCCACTACACAGTAAGAATTATAATAATTCATGACCCGCGCGGCAATAGTCGCTGCGCGTAATTGACTGTTGGTTCCCGGCAACTCATAGCCAATGAACTGTTGGCATTCATCCAACAAGCCATCAACTCTATGGATGAGGTCAGCATCGTGCAGGTCTACAAATCAAATTTCAAGGAAAAGGAGGTTTGCAGTGGCAAGGTGCCGCTTTTCCGCAAGTTTGGCAAGGCCGAGCAGATGTCATCTCGCCGGAGGGATGGAGGAGCGAAGATTCTCCAGGACATCATCACGTTGTTACAGGAGACCGACCCAGACGACGTGCCTGCTTTGTGCTGGCGAAGGACAATTTTATTGGGCAATTAAAGAAGGAGATGCACAAGCTGCCCTGCCCCCTGTTACGTTCGACCACGTCGACGTCACCAAGCTGCTGAAGGACATCACGTCCCGTCCCTAAAAGTGAACCTTGCAGAAGTTAATTGTAAATTGAAGGCCTCGGAAAATACCAACAGTGAATTGCGGGCCCAAGTTGCGTTACTGAGTAATGCGGCTTCGGTAAGTAGGTCACCCGAGGCCTGTAACGTGAATAGTGTTGCGGGGCGCCAAACGCATCTATCGGCAGTTTTGAGTCGGCCCATACGTCGCCGTCCTCTGGCACCACGTGCGTTTCCACGCGCCCTGACCCCTCAACGTGACTACGCTGCTGTTGCCGCTGCTAACCGATCCAGTGCTCCACAACTACAACCCAGGCAGTTGCCAATACAGGGAAAGAAAATGAAAAAGAAACGGATACTCATCTCTGGAGCTGTGTCGTTAGTACCACCGAGAAGAGTTGACCAGTGCGACGAGGACGGTTTCAAAAAGGTGAAAACGAAAAAGAAGTACACCCGCCGTAACCTTAGTGGCACCGCCTCGACTGGCACTAATTATTTACGGCGTCCAGCGATACCGACGACGTTGTTATACGTGTTACGGCTTCATTACTTCACAAATTCTGCCGATATTGTGGAGTATATACGAGTGAAAGCAAATGCTTCCCTGAGGGTCGAACAGTTGGGGTCCCGCCACAATGTAAATTTTAATTCATTTGTGGTGAGAGTACCAACTCAACATCTGTCGACCTTCATGAAGGATGAGATTTGGCCGAAAGGTGTCATGTACTGACGTCGGAAACGCCAGACATGACGTCAGGCCGGCTATCGAAAACCCACGTTGCGTCATACGTTGCAGATAATACGTGTAAACAATAATTAGTCATAAGTGTTTTATTGTATTATTATGTATGTTAGTCTTTAAGGTATGTCTTTATGGGTTTTTGTAACCTGACTACAAATAATTAAATAAATAAACAAAATAAAATAAATAAATATTTTTCAAGTTTGTTTGATATCGAAATAACTTGTTTTCCTTTTGCCATTGTGTTTTACTTCTTATCTACCATTCGAAATGTTCATTCCGTTCCACAAAATCATAATTTAGGTATACCCCGACAACGAACTTGACGCGCGACAGACAGATTACTATGAACGTAACACAATATCTTTTATACTCTCTATATAGGCTGTGGTAACTACCAGTACCACTTTTTACTTTCATATATAATATCATTATGACGACCTCGCGGGTCGAGTGGCTTGCACACCGGTTTTCGTGGTGTCAACATCTCTGAGGACCGGGTTCGATCCGCGGCCGGGTCAATAGATTAAGAGTAATCAATAAGGAGAAATTTATCTAACTTTTACATTGTCTGGGTGGTTGTGGTACCGTTGTTGTTTCCGATTTCCATAACACAAATATTTTAGTTACTTACTTTTGGATCAGAGCAAACGTAGGTATGTGATGTCTAATATTTATATATTTGTTTATGCGCTAATCCGTGGCGATTAAGCTAGTCGCAATGTCTCAATCAATCGACAGCACAACTCTAACTTTAAAAAGAAATTCTTAAAAGTGTTAAGCCACCTGAATTTTTATATCCGTAAAGTTTTATTTCGTAGTAGATGTCGCTTTTGAATGCTGCTTTCTATTGCTTCACGACGCAAACTACTCTTTGAGACATACGTACTGCGTAGACAGATGGCATTGGTGATGGCAAAGTCTCGCCCTAATATCCCTTGCATAGATTCTTGTTCAGGTTTGGATTCCTAGACGGGGGATTTCATCTTTTTGGACTAACGTACATGAAGATAACAATAGGGTTCATATAAAAATCACGAACCTTGGGGTCCTGATAGTTTCATTATGGACAGGGCACTTGAATTCCCAATCGGGTAGTTGTAGAATGTAAATAATTTCTTCTTCTTCTTCTGCTTTCTTTTTTTCTGCATCGGTCTTTGCGTAAGGCTGATGAAATTGAAATAGCAATTTAGGAAACCTGATAACTCGTTAGCCTATTGGCGTACCAGCAGAGTACCTACTACTCTTGGCATGAATGAAATAGGAACTCTTCTGCATTTTAAAAAGGCGGCTGTCAAATCTGCCCTCCTCGTCATAAACAACTTGTAAACCACGCATTTCCATTTTAGTGACTTTCGAAATATTGGTATTATTTAAAGGTGTTTCCTTGAAAAATGACAGTTACGCTGATAGTACTTAACAATAAAACTGACACTAAATAAGATATAAAAAAGCAATTAGGTTGTAGGTTTTGTTTCGCTGATTCCAGATTTATGTTTCTAACTCAATTTTACTACGAATGTCGATTACGTTGGACAGCTGAATAGTTATTGTACTCTTTAATAGTACAATAAAAATTATGATAATGGTCGACAGAACTAATACAATGAAGAAGTGCTCAGTTTACTAATTTTGAATGCCATAGGCAACGCGAGTATGATTTATACAGGTCTTTAGTACATCGATAGTATATGTTAGCATTATCATTAGGACTAACATCCGGGGAATTTCGGCCTCCAAAATTTCGAGTCTGTTTGTTGGCATCTTTTAAGATCTAAGGTTGGCATCTTAGAGATCGAATATAATTTATTCTTTCGAAAATTTAAACTTTTTGGAACTGCCACGCATTTCGTACGTAAAAAACTGAGTGAAGATAATCACCCTTCTTTTATTCATGGGTATGATAAGCTATCTATTTCTGCCGCTGAGCAAAAAAGTGAGCATTACTGCGTTCAGGTTTTTAAGGGTGCTGGTGAAATTACAGGCACATGGGACTTGTCAACTACTATCTCAGGGTGATGGGCGTAGTGACAGCCTCAGATATTTGTGATTTAAAGCTCTTAGTGTCACTGTAATTATTATGGACAGGCGCGTCACTGACTACCAGGCGTACCACCTGTTCGTCCCGTCACCTGGTTTCATACAAAATAAAGCTTGTGTACAAAAGTGCTTTATGTAATGAGAAATAGATTTTAAAAATGACTCACGAAAACGCTTGGCGCGGTAATGGCTTCGCTTGGGTCGAGGAACCCGTCCAATATTTGCTGGTTTATTTTGGCCTTCCTATCTATGGAGAAGTTTTTCGAGAATTTCTCCCCCGATATGGGAAACGTGATCAGTGGTTTCCTATGGAAGACAATATATTTTATAAGCGAATTTCAGAAACTTACGTATCTGCTCCGACATGCAGGCTTCCTCTAATACGTCGAATCTTCGATCGTGTCGTGAGAAGATGAATAATGCATTGCTTCAATCGTTTTTGTTAGCGGTAAAACAAGTAATAACACAAATTATTACCTGAAAGGATCAAGGTATAATGCTCGCTGTGGAAAATTAAAATGCTTTCTGAGATACTCTTCATCTAGAAATTGGAAATCGTTTTCCCTCGAGCTAGGTGAGGAACTTTGCTGGGTCGGGCCTTTCTGCTGACGCGACGCCGCGGCTTTCGCGGCCGCTTCATCGCGGGGCACTAGGCAGATAAGGGGCAAGTTGCCGCCGCCACCGCCAGTTATGCCGCTACCACGTTGACTACAGCAACAACTGCAATTTTAATTTCATATTAAAAAACTTTTACTTTATCACTGTTCGATATTTCATATTAAAATAATCTCAGTACAGAGTACTAAAAAAACCGACCTCAAAAGTACGTGGAATTACGTCTATTTGATAAGTTTCATTGAAATATCCCCTAGTTCGCCACTATACAGGACTTGATACTGGAGATAATAAAAATAGGTTCTCACTACGACACTACTCAAAGTATATCGAGGGAAAAACGCCTTGAATTGATGAAATAGCAAAATCAAGTAAATAATTGCTAAAAGTAATTGCTCCTAAATTAAAGTTAGGCGCTATTTATAAAAATGAATCTTCATGCGTGAACAGCCACCCTTTGAGGTGGATGATTTCCTTCAAAATGAAATGGGACCACAATGGAAGTAACATACAGTCGAATTGAGAACCTCCTCTTTTTTGAAGTCGGTTAAAAACTCTAATTATCACTGTTCGATATTCATTTTTAAATGTACCACGACGTATATGTCATTTTAATTTAAAGTAATAAAGTTTATTTGCTACATTTTGGGTAGATCCATTAGGATTGCTCCACCGGCAAGAGTATAGCTCTTAAGTTTGATGATGATGACATAGTGGAAAGTATGAGATGTTGGACCAGCAACTAAATTGGACCTCCCTCATATCTCAAAAATTATTTTTTTAATTGTTTTATTGGCATTACCCAACGATATGCGTTAACCTCATTGCATATTGGTCATGTTATTTTTGTTGTGATATTGACAGTTTTGTTTTAAAAATACTTATTTTTCTTATTGTTAATGTATATTCCGTACATCCGTGCTAAGCGTGTAATTAACTTAAAGGTAAGCATACAGTGTTTGTAATTTACAGCATGGAAGTGTAATTTAACGATTGCCGGCATTCATAGGCTATATTTTAATACATTTGTTTATATTTATTAAAAATGAGCAAAGAGTGTGAAGTGGATGGATGTTCAAATGGTCTTGGACGATTCAAATAGCAGTCTTAGATCAGAAGACAAGGATAATGAATGTGTTAAATGCAAAAGAAATTATTACGATTAAGAGCTTCCAAGTTGCTTGGATACAGTAAGCGAGGTTCCATAATCGGAATCAAGAACCATGTACTCATAATCCTGACATTGGCGATAATTGTCTTATTGAAGAGCTTATTTTCTTTATTAGTAGGTTTGTTACCTAGATTAATTATTATGTATAGTATATTAGGTTTCATTGTTTTTTTTTTTAATTTGTTGTACCTCAGAGCCGATTGCAGTCCAAGTTAGCGACCCCGTGGTCCAAATTACAGAACCAGTCGGCTAAATTGGAACAAAGCTCGGATCTCACATTTTGTTGACTTTTTACATGTCCATACTAATTTCTGTCAATTAAAGCTTCATAAATACAAAGTCTAATAAGTATTGTTTCATTTCATACTATGGAAGTTTGTAAAAATCTGAAAAATACAATATTTAATATTTAAAACGCCTTAATACGTTCTATTGCTTGAGGTGGAGGCTATACGCTAAGCCCTTTTCTTAGAGAATACACCATTGATCCTGACCTACCATTCACTGCGCTTGCCCGACTTCCTAATGAGTATTCGTAGAGTTTTGAACCATATAATTTAAAAAAAACTCAGTGGTCTGTGTTGAGCTTCATTCTCTACTCGATGGGAGGATTAAATTGATTTTTTTTTTTAATTTTGGCCAGACAAACCATACAATACAAGTAAATCTATGACACTGTAACAAAAAATGTATTTCCATTTGTATCTCAATAACAATCGCGCATAACATGCTTATAACATTTTGCAACTGGATAATTTATTTGGCTAGCTAAGTCAATATAAAATGTTGTATACTTTCAATAATGATTGCTGTGTTCACGTGCTTTAACGTAGTCTGGGCTTTTTAGAATTTTTGCAATTATCTTAGTGTTCTGGTAGAATATATCAAAATCTTTACATAAGACATTATATTGCCTGCAGAAACGATGAGAGAGATGACGTAATGCAGCACAATGATGTGTCAGACAACCACACCAATTACCTGATCCCAACCCAGGGAAACGCCAATTAAGAAAGTTCATTTCACAAATTGGTCCTACCGAGATTCGAACCCGGGACCTCCTCATCTAGCGTCCACACTGCAAACCGTTGCGCTGCTGTCTAATGAATACATAAATGTAAAGAGAGATTTGGTTTCTCTTTAAATGTTTATGATATCTATTCTAAGTGCAGTTCATGTGCACTATTTTATTGAAAACACAATATTTAAAAATCCAGTAAATCTTAAAAGTACATTGTCCAATATATCCCGTGGAGAAGGATATACTCTTAGAATAATAACGCATAGAATGATAGTTTCATACCAAACGAACTGTCACAAGTGAGGCAAAAATCAAATTCATGTAGGCTAGTTTTAGTAGTAGGTTAATTTTTGTAGGCTAGTTTTAGTAGTAGGTTAATTTTCGGTTTTAGTGAATATTTATATAAAATACAAGTTGAAACGCGTTACTTCCTTGTGGAATGTGATGTTAGTATCTATTTTATGTTTGTCTGACGTATTTTTACACTCATTTACCGCACATTTCGTCATTTTTAGCTAAAATTCTGGAGCTGTTCGCGGTGCAAGTTGACCTTGAGCACTGAAGGCCCGCCCGCTCCTGTAGGTCCATTGGGAGTTTCTATGCGTTATTATTCTAATGATATACTTAACTCGTGTTTTACTATACATCGTAAATAACTAGATTTCCTTGGTTCATTTTACCGTCCAATCCGCGCTGAACGTGTTACTAAAATGTCCAGAAATATGAACAGAACTCACCAAGACATTGTGATTTAGATGAGACAGTTTACCACGATATTGTTATAACAATATTGGTTTTATATTCAAAAACTTATGTGGGGACGTCATCAACAGATTTAATGCTAAATTTTGAGATTTTTATGTATTTTGCATTTTTTTTAATAATTTTTGTATTTAAAATTACATACAAATACTTAAGACATTTGTCATTTTATATTTATTTTATTTTTCCTTAATGGCAGCCATAAGGCATGGCCAGTGTCAGTTTTGTAAAAATAATATAAAAAATATGCGAATTCTCGCCACATCGACATACCTAGTTCCCATTTGCATATTTGCTGTAATCTTAATTTTTTATTAAAGTTAAAGTACATAGTTTTTAATGCGAATGATATTACCTACATAGAAGTAATCACGGCTATGATTAAGATAAAATTAAAGTTGTTTAAAAAAGACGCGATAAGTGTCTCAACTATTTATCATGAATAAAATCAATTACATAGTATTTCCGTTCTTTCTGTACGTTCGGTTCAATCCCCGGTTACTTTTCAAAAGTGCTCTGGATAAGGTCCTGGAATGAATTCTGTTGCTCTGGTATTTATAGTCCAAGGATACCCTAGTGTGAGATAATTGGTGTAATTGTCTAGCATATTTAAAAAAAATGTTTAAAGAGAAAGTGCGAATGTAGTTTTACCTACGCCGCCTGACGTCGCGATGATTCTGTGGTCAGAAGCGTAATGCCCCGCATAAAGGAAATATTTCACCGCTTCATATCGCCTGGACCTTTAAAAATATGTCACTGCTTGTGCCTGTTTGAAGGCATACCGAAACTGTAGTAATATGGTATATAGGCGTTTGTTACTTAATCCTCTTTAGACGGAAATACTTGGGCGTCACCTCTGAGGCTGTCTGTTATTTTATATAGAAGCCTTATATATTCACTACAACAGTAAACGTAGGTTAGAGAGGAATTGGCTACCTGGAATATTAAAAAAGAAACGAGCAATTCTCCAAAGCCTCAATTTTCTGTGTCCACGTACTAAACTCCAAATATTTATAAAAACAAAAATCTACAAAAAAAGAAGTGTAGGTAGGAAGTATAGATCGGAAGCTAACTGGAGAGCACAAAAACTGCCCAATAAACTTTTAGGACCTAATGGACAAAATCCGAAATACATAAAACCTGACAATGGTGGAGTGTGTGTAGTTGTATGTAATATTTTTTGTAATGTGTGTTTTAATGGCTGCTATATAATAACAATTTATTGCACACAATAATAATAATGTTCACACTCAATATACTCAACATAGCCCCACACCAGGGAAACCTTTTGTCACGGGCACCATGGACACAATTTTTAAACGAACAATATTTAAAAAGTAATTACATTTGAAAATGGAACTCTTTGGCTGTAGAATACAGTTTGTTTCATCTGACTGTCACTTGTTTTTACAGTGTGGCGTCATTTTAGTAATTGGTTGTCTACAACACCATGGATTTAACTCGTGAAAATTTTCGTAGTATGATTTTCTACGACTTTAAGTGTAATTAAACAGCTCAGTGTTTTGGCGATGAAGCACCATGCAAGGTGACTATTTATAGCTGGTTTGCAGAATTCAAACGCGGTCGTGTGAGTCTCAGTGAAGAATTTCGTGATGGTCGCCCGTCCACTGCTGTGAACAACAAAAACATCGATGCTGTGCACCGTATGATCAAAACAGACAGGCATGTGACATACCGTGAGATTCGGGCGTCTTTAGGCAAAGGCATGAGTCAAATACAATCAATACTACACAAACATTTGGGTGTGAAAAAGCTGTGCTCTCGGTGGATCCCACACAATTTGACTGCAGCTCAAAAACGGACCGCGTCACTTGGTTCAATGCCATGCTTACCAGATTCAACGAAGAGGCGTCAAATTTGGTGTGGGATATAATAATAGACGATGAAACATGGATTTATAGTTACGATCCCAAAACAAGGCAGCAATCGAGCGTATGGGTCTTTTGAGATGAGCCGAAAGCCGAAAAAGTGATTCTAAGCGGATGATTGCTTCTTTTTTTATAAAACTGGACACGTGGCTTCTGTTGCTTTGGAGAATCGTTGTACCGTGAATAGTGATTGATACACGACCATTTGTATGCCGGAAGTTATTGCCAAACTCCGTAAAAATAACCGTAAACGCCGTATCATCTTGCACCACGATAATGCCAGTTCTTACACGGCCAGACACAAATGAATTTTTGAAGGTGAACCACGTTGACCTTAGGAGCCATCCTGCGTACAGTCCCAACCTGGCACCTTATGACTTTTATTTCTTTCCAAAAATTAAGAACCAGTTATGCGGTCAACGATTTTCATCACCTGAAGAGGCTGTCGAAGAGTACGAAAAATATGTTTTAGAGATTATCACGGAGGAGTGGCAAAAATGTTTTGAAAATTGGTTCATTCGTATGAAAAAGTGCATTAACGCTAACAGAAAATATTTTGGGAAACAATAAATTCATTTCTCACCATTTATATTTTTTTTCTTATCCATTCCGGAAACTTATAGTGTACCTCACGTGTGTAGATTATTGATTTTTTATGGTCTTTTTCTTACAATTATATGTAAAAAGTAAATACAGATATGCCTTCAGTGCATAATTTCTGACATTACTGTACCGTTTCCTGATTTCGGTGGATGCTAAATTCGATCAAATATGTCGTTATTGTGAACTGTTAGGTATCTAGTTGGCCAATTTAAGGGAATCTTGTGCACGTTTCAGTTCTTTTTCCTTACCGTTCAATATTTTTCCTGAAATTAAGAAAAAATTCGACCACCGAAATCAGAAAAATTTGCTCTTCTTCTAGAAATGTCCAAACCTTATAGTGTAACTTCACTACATATGAAACAATAGTGTAACTTCGACGTCCCTGTTTGTCACAATTATTTTTAACAGAAAGTGTAAGTAAAGACGTATAGTAGTAAAATATCATAGAAAGGGTTTCAAAAATTTTAAACATGGCGTCTAAAATTGGAATTTGAAATTTAAAAGTGAAACAGTTAAGTTGAATGGGAAAGACACCATATCGTGAGTGGAAAGGTAAAAAAGCCATTGTTAAGTCAAAAGCAACATGAGATAGTGACGATTTATCGGATTATTGAAGTTCCAAAGGAAGGCTCAGGTCGTCGCTACGAAACTCCAAACCAGATTCATTTTCGGTCTGTGTCGCTTCAGTTCCTTTGACGCATAATTGTATATAACGAACTAATATTATAGGCACCCGAGGTGGTTAGACAGCCACCCGATCTATTGCGAGGGTGTTTATTACTTTACTTTTCACTTCGATTGCGAGAAAAAAATTGTCAATTAAGCACGAAAGGTTTCTAGTAGAGTAAAATGTTTTACTTAAAATTAAATGTGCAATTGGAAGCCTTTTCAATATTATAATCATAAATTACGGTCCTTTATAAATATTTCACAATGTCGATGGTTGATTTTTTGACATCTCGTCAAAATATGTTAAAAAAAAATTTATTTGAGAAAAAGTACAATTTTAGTTCCTCCAATCCATTGACTTACATTTAAACGGACGACGGGCTAATACAAAAACCACGAAAAAAATGTCCCAAGTCAATCTACTTAAACGTAGTGACATGTTAAGGAATATGAAAAAGCTAAAACGTTGAATTTAAATTGTAATGTCATCGCAATACTGTCTAATTTTGCTTGCTTCGCTGTCTGTCGAACAAACGAAGACTAGAGCGTGAATGACGCTCTGTATATGATTTTAACGCCCTATAAGTTCGGACACTTTTTAGCGCGGACCCGACGTCCATATAATTGTAAGTCAATGCTCCAATCCATAAAACTTTCATAGGCTTTTAAATAAAACTTACTAAATTTCGGCCGCAAAAGATTGTCAATTAATTACTTAGAGGATGGAAAAAAAATAAATAGTCTAATATTAATTAAAACTTTTGTTAATCGAAGTCATATTCACTGTCACTTGACGACATTTTTTTTATATTTATTTCAATCGTTTACGCTCTACAACAAAATCACGAACCAAAATTTAGAAGATTTCGCGGTATTTTTAACCGACTTAAGAAAGCAGATGTTCTCAATTCGATTGTATTTTTTTATGTATGTAGTATGTTATGCGATAACTCCGGTATTTGGAAACTGATTTTAATGACTCTTTTTTATTAGGAAGAGGATACCTCAGTATAGGTCCTATATAAATTTGAAGAAAATATTCCATCTCTAAGAGTGACAGACTAAAGAATTAATCCGGTTTCTCGCACTTTCCGGTAACCGATTTCAATAAAACTTGGCAAATAGACGTAATTCCACGAACTTTTAGAGGTCGTCTTTCTTAGTACTGTAGTCTAGGCCCTACTCTATGAGTAAGTAGTACTGAAGAGAAAAGAACATCTTGGCAGATCTAGAAGTAGCCTCAAGAAGTATATATGTGAAAAATGCAATAAACATCTAATTTTGAAGTTAATCCCAGTTCATATTTATAAAGTACCTCTCGCTACGTAACCTGAGCTACCCCCTAGGCTACAGTACTCTGTTCTGAGCTTATTTTTTCTGTTTTATTCAATAATATATACATATTACCATCACATTGCATTACGCGCAATGTTACTATCACTTGCATCACGCAGACTAAAAATGAGATGTTGTAAACATCACTCTGTTATGTTACTATTACTTTGCATTACAGTGTAATACAAAATCACTCGCATTACACAAACTAAAAATGAAATGTGTCGTCGTAAGCATCACTCCGTAATATTACCATCACACCATTCCACATTACATTACGTATCACGCATTATATAGACTAAAATCACTCCTTATAGTACTTTAGTAATATTGCAGCCTTATAATTAGCAATATTGTAACGGAAATAAATAATGTTGTGGATCAATTACAATTAAATAGAAATTAATATATATTCGGCACTGTCTCGGGTGCCAAAGTGATACGTGATATCACGTTTGTAATATTACTCATAATACTTACACATGTATAATATCCATCTAAAAATACGTTACAAAATAATGTAAGTTTCATTCATACAACTTTTTTAAGTACATATTTTTACGCACGTACGCATTTTTAACATGAGA